CCCTAAAACCCTAAAACCCTAAATCCTAAACCCCCCCCCCCCCGGTACTTCTGGGCGCCAGGCACCTGTCGCCTCCTGGAGCATTTTTGGTGTTAAGGCTCCTTTAAGGGATACATAAAGGTTTAGAGCAAAATTTAAGGTTTAGGGTTAAATTTAGGGTTGAGGGGCTGAATTTAGGGTTTAGGGTTAAATTTAGGGTTTAGGGTTTAGTTCTAAATTTAGGGTTTAGGGTTTAGGGCTAAGTTTAGGGTTTCGCGCAACACCCCTAACAAGTTTCTATCGGCGTTCTCCAAACAATCTCTAACCCCTGTAAAAACACCTAAGCCTAAAACCCATGAGCACCTGCAATATCTTCGCAAGAAGCCATCCCTAAACCCTAAACCTTAAACCCTAAACCCTATATCTTCGCAAGAAGCCATCCTCAAACCCTAAACCCTAAACCTTAAACCCTAAACCCTAAACCTTAAACCTTAAACCCTATATCTTCGCAAGAAGCCATCCCTAAACCCCTTATAAAGACCCTACGACAGACTCAAGCCCTGAGAAACGAAACCCTGAACCCTACCTATGTTCTCCATTGTAGTTCCTTTTTGGGCTTACCTTAGAGGATCACTACTATACAATTGGTTGAACCAAAGAAAGGAACTACAATGGAGACTATAGGTAAACCTTAAGAAGCCCTCCCGGCGTCCTGCGCGCAGAGTCCCCTGTGGCCTTCCGGGAGAGCCAACTCAGTGCCGCGTCCTCTGCGGACTTTCGACATGGGAAAAGATTTCTCGGTTTACGAGTTTTCGATTTAGGGTTCAGGGGTCTAGGATTTAGGTTTCAGGGTTTAGGGATTTTGCGGTTTAGGGTTTAGGGTTCAGGGTTCAGGGTTTAGTGGCTTGAGGTGTGGGATCTTTCGGTTTAGGGTTCAGGGTTTCGGGTTCAGGGTTTAGGGGGTTGAGGGTGTTGGAATTTACGGTTTTGGGTTCCTTTAGGGCTCCTCTGCCATAAACGGATCTATAAGACTTCTGCAAAGCTTTGGGGAGTCTTGGGATTTTTATAAGGGTTCTTCACGGGCTCGATGCGGAGTTCTATAAGGGTTCTACGAGGGCTACCAGGGCCCTGTAAGACAGAAGAACTGCGGACCTCCAAGAAGTCAGCAGCGCGGCTGCATTCCGTGCGTATTTCATGGCATATGTTAGACACCTAAACCGTGAAGTATGAATCCCTATCCCGAACGCTACAGGGCCCTATTCCAACAAATTTTCCGGCCCTCAGAAATGAAACCCTATGTAACCCTATCAATCCCCATAGAGCCTATAAAACCATATGAACCCTGCAAACCCCCACACACAAAAGCCCCATAATACTCCTTCGACGCTAGGCAAAACCCCATAACCCTAAATCTGAAACCCTAAACCCTAAACCCTAAAACCCTAAATTTCTAGACCCACTCCTGAACCGTTTAAGCTTCCAACCCTAAAGGAACTCCTTAAACCCCAACAAATCTTATTAAAGTCTACAAATTTCCGGCAGCCTCCTCCATCGCCGGAAGAAGATCGAGAACCAGGGGCTCGCCCTCACCGAAAGCCCCTTCGCCCCAGAAGGAGGAGGCTTGCAACACCTGGGTATGCAAAGGAGCAGGAGGCTCGGTAAGTTGGGTTTGGGGGTTCAGGTTTGGGGCTTGTAAGTATAAGGCAACTATAGGCATATCTACATGTAACCTAAATTTGTGCTGCTTTGCATCATACTTACTAAATCCCCTGATCTTTTCAGCAGGGTTTCAACTGGTGTTCAACGAGTTCCTTCCTGCAGATCCAGTAATTTCATGTGGAAGGGTTCAGCGCTTGGGTCTAAAGTTTGGGAGTTTCTGTCACAACTGGTGATTCTGGAACCGTCTTCACGCGAGTTTTAGAGGGAGAACCCAGGGTTTAGGATGTGGGGTTGACTTCAGTTAAGTGCCCTTTTAAGGGACCATGCATATTGATCCGGGTTACGCCACAGGAGGGCCACCGGCAAAGGAGAGCAGTTCTTTACTGTAGGGCCTTAATAAGTAGAATATGGGGTTGGGGGGCCCGTTATGCTATAACTAAGTTATAATAAGGAGCCCCCCAAGATACTGTAGGCAATTATTTAGGCCCCTAAATTACACACCGACTACCATCACTAGGCCCTAAGCCCTACTGGGAGGATCATGGGACTTAGTAAGTATGGTTATTCGTACCCTAAGTGGGGTTATAACTAGTTACAAGTGTACTTCACTTAATTATAACCCTAAACCCTAAATCCGGAAACCCTAAAACCCTGACAAGTCCCATGGTCCGTTGAGTGAACCCTGAACTTACCTTCGGTTAGTAGGGAATGGAAGAATGGTAGTAATAGTAGTTATAATTATGATTGTACCCCAGTCTTCCATTCCCTACTAACCAAGGTAGGTTATAGGATTATTTATGCCCCTATATTATAGTACCCTTATAAATCCCTTATAGTAGCCCTTATTTCCCTTATAGATCCGTTTAGAGGAACCCTATGCTAAACCTGAAGAATCTCGAGTCGGGTGGCTGCTGGCCCGCTGACACCCCGGTGCGTGAAGAGGATTCTTTCAACCTCGGGGTGATGGCTTACTTGGAGGATCATGGGACTTAGTAACTAGGGTTATAATTAAGGCAACTATACTTATAATTACATATAACCCCACTCAGGGTACTTATAACCATACTTACTAAGTCCCGTTCCACCCTTTATAGAACTCTTATAGATCCCGTTAAGGAACCCTAAACTTACATACAACCCCACTTAGGGTACTTATAACCATACTTACTACAAGTAAGTCCCATGAACCTCCAAGTAGACCCTAAACCCTAAACCCTAGAGATCCCTTTAAGGAACCTTATAGATCCCTATAAGGACCCCGTTAAGGAACCATACTTACTAAGTCCCATGATCCTCCAAGTAGAGGACCAGGTTTTGGGGCTTTGGGGCTCAAGATGAACGGGCTATACGGTTTAGGGCTTAAGGCTTAAAGTTTAGGGGTTTAGGGTTTAGGGTTTAGGGTTTTAGGGTTTAGGGTTTAGGGTTTAGGGGTTTAGGGGTTTAGGGTTTAGGGTTTTAGGGTTTAAGGAATCAAGAAATTTCGTCAGTACGGCAGATCTGGAATTGGGATAGACTGTGTCTACGACAAGGCTGGCCTACGAAAAGGTCCTTACTGAATCCATCCATCAACCCATCAATCGATCACTCCCTCAATCCGTCATTCGATCAATTCCCCTTACCCCTCAACCTCAACCCGAAATTGAAACCCTAAACCCCTAAACCCCAAACCCCTAAACCCCAAACCCTAAACCCCGAAACCCTAAACCCTAAACCCTAAATGATTGAAGCAAGTCGGCATCCGGTGAAACAGGGCCAGGACTTCAGGGCAGATCGTACGCACGAGTAACTTCCGAGAGCATCCCTGGAAACCTCTTGAAGGTTCATGGGCACTAGGAGGGTCATGGGACATAGTCAGTAAGGCTATACGTACCTTGAGTGGGGGTATAGAAAGATACAAGTACAGTTACCTTAATTATAACACGAGGTACTGAGTCCCATGATCCTCCAAGTAGTTATTATAGGTGGGTGTACAAACAAGGCGAATCTCGCCACAACTCTAAACCTTAAACCAGTGAAACCCTGAAACCATACAAACCCTGACTCCTACCTAAACCCTATCAGCCTCCAAGAAGCAAATGGAGGCTCCCCAAAGACTTGCTACGGCGTGGGGTTCATGCTTTTTTTGCTACCCACCCAATGGCAGGCCAAAAGTCTTGGGTGTTTTAAGGTTCGGGGGTTTGGGTTTAGGGCTTATAGGGTTTAGAGTCTTGGGTGGTTTCCGTAGCCCCTCAACAACAGGGTTTCATGTTGGTTTTTTGGGGTTTAACGTTTACTGATAAAACTGCGCGGCTGCGGGACCTAGGCATGCAACCCCTAACCTGAGACCTGGCACGAAGCCCAATATCAGGGTTTAGGGGGTAGGGTTTCCGGTTCAGGGTGGAGCACTCACCGCCGCAATCACCACACAGAGCCCAATTCACGCCTGCACATGGTCCCAACTGGCTAGATCCTAAACTTTAAAACCTGTGCAGTACAAGCATAATTAAACCATAACCCCCGTTCCAAAGCTAAGGCTCACACGAAAGACATGTCGCCGATTGACGCGCGAACCTGCACATACCCTGAACCCTAACACACAGAATCTCAACTCTCGACCCCACGTTTGGAACCGCAAACCAAAAAGACAACGACGAACAGCACGAGCGAGCTTTCGACACGTGTACGTTCAACACAACTCTAACACCTGTATTCAACGCATATCGGAGCCCTAAACCCCAGACCTAACCCTGAACCCTAACTCTCGTAGCTAAGTGCCGAAACGAGCAGACTCTAGTGTGCACACTACGGAGAGCTGGTTGGTCATGCGGGGGCCGGCTCTGCTGCCCACAGTGGGTGGGCAGGCTTAGAAGCTCTTAGAAGCAGGTCTGAATCTCCCCTTCTTTCTTGGGCTGCTCGCGGCGATCTGTCCGAGCCTCTTGCAGAGGTCGAAGGGCGGTTATAACAAGCGTACCTTTTTTTCTACTACTGGGCTTTAGTAAGGGCGCCCCAAAGATGAAAAGGGCAAAAGGGTACTACACAGGAGCCTTTCTAGAACCCTTCAAGGATCCCTTATAGAACACGTTAAGGAACCAAAGGGTCCTACTATTTTGTAGAACCCTTCAAAGATCCCTTATAGAACCCTTTAAGGAACCCTTATATTGAAAGGGGCTACTGCTAATCTATAGAACCCTTTAAGGATCCCTTGTAGAACGAAACCCTAAACCATAAACCCTTTAAGGAACCTTTGTATTAAGACTGGTACTACTCAGGAACCTACTTAGAGGATCATGGGACTTAGTAGGGTTATAACTAAGGTAACTGTACTTATAGCTGCTTATGACCCCACTTAAGGTACTTATAACCATACTTACTAAGTCCCATTCCACCCTTTATAGAACTCTTACAGATCCCTTTAAGGAACCCTAAACCCTAAACCCCTAAACCCTAAACCCTAAACCCCTAAACCCTAAACCCTAAACCCCTAAACCCTACTGCACAACGTCCCTACAGTCAGCGCAGCCCCGAAACCCGGAAGTCTTGTTTCGGCCTCCATGGACACGCCGGTCAGGCTCCTCCGATTCTTTGACTAAACAGGGTTCCTTAAAGGGCTCCTTTCAGGGATCTATTCGGTTCCTTAAAGGGATCTATAGGACTAAGGATTTAGGGTTTAGGGTTGAGGGTTTAGCGTTTGGGGCTTAGGATTTAGGGCGTTGGGTTAAGGGCTTAGAGTTTGGGCTTAGGGTTTGGGGTTTAGGGTATAGGGCCTTGGGTTCAGGGTTTAGAGTTTGGGCTAAGGTTTTGGGGTTTAGGGTTTTGAAGGGTTTAGGGTTAAGGGTTTGGTGTTTTGAGTTTAGGGCTGAGGGTTTCACGGTTTCACAGCTTAGTGTTACCTACTTTTTCGTAGGGGCTTAGAAACTCTACAGTACAGATGTCGCGGGGCTGATGGTGGTTTATGCATAGACTTTATATAGGGTTTGGGGCTTAGGGTTTTATCGGTTGGGACTAGGGGTTTAGGATTTGGGGCTTTGGGTTTAGCTATGTAGAGGCTTTGGGATTTGGGCCTAAAGTTTAGGATTTGGGCCGCGGCAGCACTACATAATTAGAACAAGAATTGGGGGGTATACTAGACTAGGTTCAAGTTTTGGAACCCTGCGGAATAGTACCCGACCCTAGCATTCCTTTTGGGTTAAGAAATTACAATTTCTACACCCTGGACCCTAGCACACCTCAAAACCTCAAACCTCAAACCCTCAGCCCCAAAACCGGAATCGCAAAACCCTTCCCAAAGCAAGAGGAATGGGTGGGACTGTAAGGGCGTACTGTGCAGCAGTGAGGCTTTGGGGACGTTGTGTTTGAAACCTCAGGAGCCTGGGTCTATGGACTGCAGGACGGTCAGATGAAAGGAGTTCCGTATGCATGGTCCTATGTCGGGTGTGGGGTTCAGTCTTTGGGGTTTGGGATTCGAGCATTGCGGCGTCATCTATAAGGGTGCGACAAGCATTTCGAGTTAACACGAAGCCTGTAAAGAACAAACACGGGGCCCTTGCAAAGAAGACACCCCTACTTGGAGGATCATGGGACTTAGTCACTAGGATTATAACTTAAGGTACTGTACGTCCCCACTTAGGGTACTTATAACTTTACTTACTAACTCCATGCAACCCTTCATAGAACTCTTATAGATCCCTTTAAGGAACCCTATAAGGATCCCCTCAAGGAACCTTTCTTACCAAGTCCCATGATCCTCCAAGCATGCGCCTTGCTGAGGGGCCACTGGACGAAGGATCAGGCGACGTAGTAGACAGCCCAGAGACTCCAATACCCCTTAATTCAGGAATATACCTTAAATTGTAGTAGGATCCCTTAATATGATTTGAGGTATATTCCTGAATTAAGGGATTTTGGAAGGTCTGGGAGGATCATAAACAGGTAACCTGGGGTACTGCCCCCATACAGCAACAGTCCATGACTGGGCTACTATTAAGGTCCTAATATAAGCATATTATGAATATTATTCAACTGTTACTGGGGCAGCACCCAAAGGTAACTACAGATAGGCATACTTATCACCCTAAACCCTAAGCCCCTAAACCCTAAACCCGTAAACCCTAAACCCTAAACCCCTAAACCCTAAACCCCTAAACCCTAAACCCTAAACCCCCTAAACCCTAAACCCTAAACCCTAAATTCTGCAGATCCTTAGAAGGAACCCCATTGATCCCGTTGAGGAGCCCTTCCAAGATTCTATAGATCCTTATGAAGAACCCTGTAGATCCCTTTAAGAAGCCCTTATAGTTCCTGTAGAAGGGGCCCTAAACCCTAAATTCTAAAGCCTCCCAATCTACTACTGCTGCATCTCTCGATCCGTTCAGCGTGTCCTTGTCCACTCCGTGCCAACGACCAGCGGCACCAGGCCCGGACGAACACCAGTAACCTGAAATCCGGGTATAGGGTTTAGGGTTTAGGGTATCTCTAAACCCTAAGCCCTAAACTCTAAACTCCAAGGACTCCAAAGGAGGGTAGTTCTAGGGGGAGGACACTGGGGATCTTGAAAGATATGAAAACGCATCCACCAAAGGACCAAGCTCATCTTCAAGACTTAACATTGGGTCCTGACTAATTAGTATTGGATTGTCATTTCTAAACGTTTGGAGCTTTGGGGGGGTCGATTTTCTTGTGTTTCGAAGCGGCCATTGTTGTGCTTCTGTCGGCCAACTGTAAAACCCTAAAACCCTGAACGATGAATCCCAAACCCTAGACCCTACACACTACATCCTAGACCCTGAACCCTAAACCCTAAAACCCTGAACCCTTAATCCCAAACCCTAAACCCTACACACTACACCCTAGACCCTGAACCCTAAACGCTTAAGCCCTGAACCCTTAATCCCAAACCCTAAACCTTGGACCGTCGACCCCAAACGCTTAAACCCCCAAGACGGAGCGGCAAGTCGGTGTTGAGGGCTTACTGAAAAGGCCATGGGACTTAGTATGTAAGGTTATAAGTACCTTAAGTGAGGTTATAGGTACCTTAAGTGAGGTTATAAGTAGTTATAGGTACAGTTACCTTAATTCATAACCCTTGTTACTAAGTCCCATGATCCTCCAAGTAGGGCTCGAAGCCCTGTAGAGCTCACCCGATCTCAAGTTTGGGCTTCCGTTAAAGGAACTATGAGGGCTCCTTAAAGAGATCTCTAGGGTTCCTTATAAGGATCTATAGGGTGTAGGATTTAGGTTGAGGGTTTAGGGGTTTAGGGGTTTGGGGTTTAGGGGCTTTGGGTTTAGGGTTTAGGGCAAGCCCGTAGAAACCCCAGAACAACACTGAAACGACCCGTCATGGGCTCTCGACGAAGCATTCAAGAAGGCTGAAAAAGGCCTCAACGAATCTCCTTTTGCGTAAACCTTATAACAAACCCTATATAAAGACCTATGCACCTAATTCAAGACCCTAAACCCTAAACCGAAGCTATAGAACAGCACAGCATCCTGATAGGCTGTCAAAGAAAAACTTAATAGGCCCTTTTGAACCCTCCCGGATGCCCTATACGAACCCTGTAGCACCCCTATATGAAACCGCTACCAGGCCCCCTCAACCTCACGATCTTAAAAGAAAGCCCGAAACACCCGAAGCCCTAAAAACCCTAAACCCTAAATCCTAACTTTGCAAAGACTCCTGTACACTCCCAAGCCCCTAAACCCCCAAACCCTATAGATCCCTTATAGAAACCCTGTAGATCCCTTTACACGAACGCTTAGAGCTAAACTCCCCAGACCTTCCAAAATCCCTTAATTAAGGAATATCCCTTAAATTATAGTAGGATCCTTAATTTAATTTAAGGTATATTCCTTAATTAAGGAATTTGGAAAGTCTGGGTCCTTGTTTGCACCTAACTACCGGACCTTACCTCCAATTCCAAGCCCCTAAACCCTACAGATCCCATATAGAAACCCTATAGACCCCTTTAAAGGGAACCATATAGTTCCTCTAAAGGAACCCTAAAACCCCTTGTTTTAACCTACCGGACCGCCTCCAATCCCATGTCCTCGGCCACCACGTGGGCCAGGTCGGTGGAACCGCCTTGGGCTTCGGGGGTCGGTCTTTGTTATGTTTATGGGTAAGTCGTGAGGGTTTAGGGTTCAGGGTTTAAGGGTGCAGGGTTCTAACTAAGGTTCTGGGCTTGAGGTTTAGAGTTTTCATGATTTAAGCGTTGAGGGTGAGGGTTTCAGGGTCTAGGGTGTAGGGGGTCTTAGAGGGTTTTGGGTTCAAGGCTTTTGGAGCTTGAGGCGTAATGTCCAGTGTTTGAAGCTCAAGGGTAACACTTCCACAGGGCTTGCTTCGGGTTTCTCTGCGACTCTAGGGCCCTAGGGGCATCTGGGCACGACAGGGTTCAAAATCCGTGCACTTTGGTTATTGCTTGGGATTCGGGGCTACGGTCTGCGCAACGGGGAGGAGTTCGGAGCATGGAGCCAGCCGCGCAATGCGACATGCAAATTTGTATAAGTTGGTGGGTATACGGCACAATCCCAGGCAGAGCTTCATCAACCAGTTCGAAGCAGACGGTGCGAAGGGCTTAGGGTTCAGGGCCCAACGCAAGAGTGTGCTTTTGCGAGGGGGTTGAGCCCACTCCTGCCTAAGGCATCTGGAGAAGTCTGGGTTCTCCAATGGTTGTTAAGGGGCTTCTGGGGGGTTTGGTATATTGGTTTGTGGTTCAGTGGTTGCGGTCTTACATGGTCTTACGGTTCCAAGTTCCAAATGCCTCAATTTTGTCACAGATGCATCCGATCTCTGATCGTGCATCCTGTTCCATAGCGGCGTGCCATCAAAAGGAAGAGCCCAACATGAAGGAGAGCATTGAAACCATTGTATGCTAGTGCTGCCGCTACTTCTGAGTTCGTCATTCGGGCTCAGACGATGGTTCCCCTTGCCCTTTCTGCAGTAGTAATACGCTGCTATCAGCATCCAAAGTTTGATTCTTGATGTTCGGCCTGACTAGAACTCGGCGCCACTCATTTCTTGCGAGAGTCGGCCACAGCTCGATTCAGGTCGGAAGTCGCAAATTGAGGCTTGGCCTGCCACTGTGATCCTCAACCAGCAGCCTCGAGTTTCAAACCACATGTAGGCCAGGCAGCATGCAGTCGGAATGCGCAATGCCTTCTCAGTTTGGCAGGGCAGCCGCATCGCAAATTGAATGCAGGGAAAAAAGCACGAACAAGGTGAGATGCATGTGTCGAACCCATCTAGGTCCATGAGCGCCGCCAACCACTGCACCAAAGAACTCGAGTGGATCCGCCTCAGCAAGAATAGATCAGGCAGGCTCCATCAACTTGCATAAACCCTAAATCCTAGGCACGTAACCCTTAACTCTAACCCTGAGCACAAAACCATGAACCCTAAATCCTAGGCGCACAAACTTCACGCCAGGCCATGAGGTTGACCAGACGACTCCTGATCACTGGAAGTTGTGCAAGATTTTTTGGCGTAACCTCGACATCTGTACTACTACTTACGAGTACAAACATGGAGAATTCCGGGCTCCTGGGCAATGGCCTGTGCTGTTTGTTGTTGGTGGATAGCTTTGCTTAGGACATGAAGCAGTGTCCTCCCACGCCGTAGATCTGCATCATGCTTGAGCGAACATGTTCGCAGTGGAGCTTCGGAAGCTATCTCGTCGAGATCATCCTCAACAAGCGCTTTTGTGTTTCCAGCATTTCCAGCTGTTGGGTTTCAGATCGTTTGGAGGGTTGCCTAAGTCCTAAAGCACTTGCTATCGAAGTGACAATCCTCCCGATTTGAGTACTTGCACTCATCCTGCATCGCATGACACATGTTGCACACAGGCTGTTGTCGAATTTATCAGGATTTACGCTGCGGTCGTGCACCCCAGCACTTTGCACAAGTGCTTAACCCCAGGCGAGGGCACCTTTTCTGCCAAAGCTAGAGTTGCGTGCTTGATCTGGTTTTGCAAGTGCACCTACGACACTATGGAAAACAGCAGTAGACTGGACTGTCTACATGGAGCATCAACTGCCTCTCACCAAAACTTCCACCATGGCTTTGTCGCTGGGACAATAGCATCTGGCCCAACAACCGAGCCCATGACCCTTGACACTGCCCATGACAATGCCGTGCCGACCAAGCCCATACTGTTCATCGCACTGTTGTATGCAAACTGCGCAGTGAAGTCCAAAGCCTTCCTCGCCAAGCTCTTCTCATGATTGCGGATTTCCTGGACGAGGCTCGTCTTCGCGGCAAGAACTTCTTCAAAGAGCCTACGGCTGATTGAGCTGCGGGTCTTATCAGGATGTAGAAGCTTGAACAACTCTCCCGAGCGAGCATTCACGGCGGCCTCGTTGAGACCATCAACAACATCTCGTTCCGCCATGCCCAGTTGCAGCACGAGCTTGTTCACACGATCAAGCTTCGTCAACCGTTTATACGCACTGCTTGTTACCGTCTGCACGAGTCCGATGCCGATCCCCACTAAGACTCCCGAGTTCTTTGCGACTAGCGATTTCCACCGGCTCGGCGGAACTGGATTTGCTTTCCAGAACTTCCACCAAGGGGGTTTCTCCGCAACTGCTCCAAGCGCCTCCAAAGCTGGCTTCACCACCTGCCTCCCGACGCAGGTTGCAGCAATGTCCACACCACACTGCACACTTTTGCAGGCAAGAGCTTTGCATCCGACATTGCAAGCATCCCACAAGGCTTGCAGCATTTCGAAAAGCTGTCGGGCATCTAAGAATTCAACCGCCTGCCCCACCAGCTTTGAGACCGTCTCCCCCATGACACTGCCGCAAGCATCCTCAAGCTTTCCACCTTGGATGCTGTTCACCAAGCCGTTCAGGGTTCGATGCGTCACATATCTCTCATAGGTCGGGCCCACAACATTCTGCATCCAGGCGATCAGTAACTTTCTCTCGTCTTTGAGGCTCTTGAACGTTTCAAAATACTCAATCGGCCGGCTCAGCAGATCTACGGCCAACCAGAATATTCCCAAGCTGGGCTGCGGATCTTTCTGATCAAACTTGCCTTTGTAGCTGATGCAATTCACGACTTCCGAGTTTGCATTGTACTGGACTGCGTATCCGGTGCCATTCTCCGACTCTGGATCTTTGAACTTCCATGTGCGCTGGTCACTCGGACAAAGCCACGGCTTGGGAAGCTGACTAATGTTGTAGATCCCAGCTGCTGCCCCGCATGCTGCAGTGGCCAATGCCAGAAGTGCAGTCGTATCACGTAGCCAGGTCGGTGCGGAATTCTCTCGCAACTTAGAGGCGAAGCTGATTGCAGAGCTGACCTGCATGACGCGTCCGAGTAAGCCGAGTAAGCTTTGCTGGCTGGCACTGAGGTTCCATTCTCCAACAGTTACCATGTACAAGCAGGCGCTTCTCAACTTCGGATGGGACATGAACAGTTCATCCAACTTGGCCCTGGCTTGTTCCAGGTGTTTTGCTGTAAATTCTTTTGCCGCCTCCTCGCGATGCAATTTGACCTCGTCCGTGTTGACACACATCTCCGTTCGGTTGGTATGGCCTTTCTCGTACACGGCATCATAGCCCTCCTTCCGCCAAGTGCCCTTGAAATCCGTAGTGTCTATGACCTTGACATTTCCACTGTGAAACTCAACCCTGTAGACCTTTGATTGCTCAGGCGGCCCGGCTTTTGCCGATCGGATTTTTGCAAAATCTTCGGCCTTGCGGCGGTCATGCGCTAGGTACACACCTTTTCCCAGCATGCCCTTCTCTGACTGCTTCAGGCCTGTCTGGTCAACGGCGTTCGCCGACCCTGTGCCATGAAACGCCACATGAGTGTCGAGCGTCTTTTTGAAATGGGCCGCCAGGCATTCAAGCTGAGGGTCTTGGCTGTTGCCCAGCACGCCTACGACAGCACAGATATGCAGCAGGGTGTCCTCCATGTCGTCAGACATGTTCTCGTGGAGCAAAACCTCTTCCTCCAGATTCTACCTACTATTCCCACTTCGAGGGAATCCTGTCTACCCTGCAGGCCAATTGCTGAGTCAGGGTCATGACACCGAGTGATAATGATTCGTGTCTTACTGGCTCTAGTTGCTACCGTCGCCACTTTGCATATAATTATCTTAAGATGTGCGCATACCGTGGCGGCCCATTTAAGCCGGTTAAGCTTGAACATGAAAAGTCATTATAGCTATGACAACCTTCATCATGAGTGTGATTGTCCTTGCTGGCAGGGTATTGTTCACATCTGTGCTACTACCATTCACAGTACTGATCGTGTTGCTAGGATTGCATAGCTGCAGCCACTTTCAATTACGTGGTTGCAGGCGGCGGCAACCTGCATAGCTCGACTCGGCAATTGCTACCTAGACGTGCCATCCTCAACTTCCGCTGAACCCCGACTGAAGCTCCGGCTGCAGCCAAAGTGCTGAAGTGGCCCTGGTCTCCCTCGAATGGCTGCAGTTGGGCTACCGTCGAGCATGATGCAGACATACGCAGACCGTTGCCACCTCTCGTGCTTTCTGCCTGAACTCGATCAAGGTTTTGATACAAGCACAGCGTAGGCGATGCTAATCGTCGTAGCGATGGCGTACCACCGCACAAAAAAGAATTTAAATTACTGTGAGAACAGCAACAACACCAACTGCTAAAGTCACAGAGCCAAGCTGCGGACTGGATCCCAAAGGCCTTGATGCCCTGGACTGCACCGCTTCATCCAAAACACATTGCTGGGTGTCAGTCGAGACTTCCAGGAACGCCGCTGGCAAACATCAACAGCAGAGGAAAACCAGTCGGTTGGATGAACACCCTCTGCCAGCTGCAGCAACAGGTCTGAGCAATGAGCCGACGAATGTACGCACCGTGTAACGTAGTCCACACAGACTTATGGGGAGACATTGGCGACCAGCTTGACAGCTGTTGGTGCCCAAAGTGTGCGGCGATGATGCACTGCAATGTCAGTGGCTACCCCACCTGAACCAGGCTAGGAATCCGGAAAGCATGAACCAAGATGTCGTCAGTGCTGGGGTGCGGGCACGTCCGCGCAAAGCTCAGGCCACCAGACGCCACGATCACTGCCTGCGGAGTTTGCAGGAGCGGTTCAGGGCTTTGACCGTCTACTTAGCAAAACACAGACACTTAGCAAGTGGGGGTGTAAGGAAGGCCGCTATAGCTGTCAGAACTACTTTCCCAATCAAGGCACCTATTACCCGACTTACCAAGTTCCCAGCGGACGGCGCATTGATAAGTACTCGGGTACTCAGGGTGCCCGCGGCTTCCCGACCCCAGAACTCGCGTCAATCCGAAACCTCCAAACCCCCGAACCCCAATGTCCAATCTCAAAGTTTAAATCCCTGGGCCCTGCATCCCCGAAGCTCAAAAGCTCAAGACGCTAGACTCAAACCCTGGATTGAAATGGGAGTTTCCGAAAATAGGGGACCCCAATATAGCACACTAAACAGTAGGATCCTTACTATAAGGCCGCCAAAAGAAGGTACCCTTAATTTCGGAAACTCGCAAAGACTGCGCCCCAAGCCCCGGCCCCTCGCCCCCACCTGAAACCCAACGGCCGAAATCCCCACAGCCCGAAGTCCTTTCACTGGGACAAGGCAAAAATGCACGAACGCCCTGCTTTACTGGCTTCTTTACTTTGGGTTGGAAGGCATTCAGGGTGGGGCTTTGGGGGTTTAGGGCTTGCTGCTCTTAGCTGCGTATGGACACGTATACCTTGTAGGGTTGGAGTGTTTAGGCTTAGGCTGTGCATGGCTTGTCGGGTTCAGGCTTCTCAAAGTCCGAAAGGCACAAAACCTGTGTGTAAACCTCCAACTGGCCCCGGCAACCCTTAACTAAACCATTGACTCTTAAGGCTTACGCGCAAACTCCAAACCCTTAACATTACAGCCCTAATCCAGTAGCCCTAATCACTAGCCCTATATCCCAAAACATGTCTAACCAGGAACTCCCATACCCCCAGTCGCAAACCCTACAAAATCCCGTAGCACTCCCTGTAGAACGACTATTCTAACCCTCGACTTTGCAAACTTATGAGGAATCTTTGAATACAACAACTCTAACAGTCTTACAATAACCCTTCTGGACACCCCTACAAAAACCACATACCCAGGCACCATCTAAACCCCACTACGAAACGTTTATGAAAAATACAAAACCCCTCTACCCCACCCCCTCAAAGAATAAATAACTCTAGTTCTAATTCCCCGTATGAACCCTAAACCCTAAGCCCCAAACCCAGAACCCTAAACTCCTAAACCCAAAATGAAATCGAGTCATATAAACACCTCTTCATGGCCTCGGCTGCCACTTCCGCCTCAATCGGCACCTTTTCTCTGGGCCTCGGACTTTGGTTTTTGGTGCAAGGTTGGTTCTCCAGGGCCCCAGAGGGGGGGTTTTACTGGCTTCGGAGTTGAAGGGTTTAGGGGCTGGGGGAGTGGGGTTTATGGCATGTGCTGTTAGGGGTTTATGAGTTAGGGTTTGGGTTTCGGGATTTTCTAAAGTTGTCTTAGCAGTTTAGGATGTGGGGTTTAGGGCGTTTTGGGGCTTAGAGGTTGGGCTGTCCTAGGAGGTCCCTGGATGTTTGAGAGTTTTATGACTGATTTGTCACGCTATCGTTTAAGCGTCTCATAAAGGTTTCATAAAGGAGTGTTTACCGGTGATCTTATCCCCCTGTCTGCAAGAACCGTCATGCTGCGCCGCTGTGATTCCTAAAGATCCTCCACTCCAAAACCCCAATCCGAAACCGAAACCCTAACTCGAAGCCCCTTATGGAACCCTTGTAAAACCCGTTATGAAGCGCTTCTGGAACCCTTGTCCAGCCGGCATAAACCCCTTGCAAAAACATTGCGAAACCCTAAAAAACGCGTCAATCTTGGACCCCGGAACTCCCTCGACTTGCCAGCAACCTTGGTGCCCCTGCGTCCGGTAGAGGACGCGGAAGCGCTCCGCACCCGACGAAGTTTGCAGGGAGGTAACCTGCTGCTTGCCGTTGAAGGGATAACATGTATCCCGATAACAGCCCATATCCATAAAAACTTGTTCTCGGCAGAGCAAATGCCTAAACCGTGAACCCTGTATTACGCTCCGGTAAATGCCCTCGCATTTCTCTTTAGGGGACCTATAAACAAAGAAAACCAAACAAACAGCTGGTAGAGGCGTGTCTAGTCTGGCACACAGGAACCATTCGGGGCTCTATTCCGGCTTCATGCATTAAGATTCTGCTTTGTGGTTTCATAACGGTGTTGCTAATGCTTCATTTGCTTTTTGATAAGATTTCCAATTGGGGTTTTATCTTGTGCTTTTCTGGATTATACTGTTTTTGGAGGGCCTTATACAGCACTTCACAACGATTTTGCATGATGGCCTTCGTAAAGGCGAGTCCCGTGAGTAAGTGTACCATTTTGGGTTTATGCATGAGGGTCTTGTTTGTCTGAAACTCCTATAAGGGCGGAGTTTAAGCAGTAGGCAGTTGGAGCCGCAGGTGACCGCATATGAGATGAACTGCAAACGATTTAGGGTTCAGGGTTTATGGGGTTTGATTTGGGATCTTGGTTTCTGGTATCCAGGTAAGCTGTGCAACCAGCTTCAGTGAAAGGTAACGGCTCATCTGCCCGTTCATCTTCAAGTAAGGCTGCCGTTTCTCCGGCAGCATCTCCATCATGTATATACACCACGTGAAGCAGGAGTCGACTAGTTCCAGGTCCATTTCCCGGTCAAGAGCGCATGTTGCGCGGGCGCAGTACAATCACTCGCCTCCTGTGTCTTCGCTTAGATACACCTGCATCGCCATGTCCCGGAACCGATTCGGCGCAGCGTAGCCGAAGTTCAACCACGCCGGTGCCGTTGTCCTTTGGATTCCGCACTGTCGGCTCGCCAAATGCTTCTCCACAGAAAGATAGAATTAGAATACTAGCAAAGAACGGTCAAAGACCCATTCACAAGTTCCCTACTCTAAACTGAGGGTTCAAGATCAACCCCTACAAGTGTACTGGGTTCCTCTATAGGGGATCCGTCCTGAGCGGGGTGTGGATTATGATTAGTCTGCAACAGTTGCGATTGAGGGCATGCATGAAGCGAAAACCAATACCCGAAACCTTAAGCCCTGAAATGGAAAACTGGCTCCTAAACCCTTCAACCTTCATAAGACTCTTAAAGACCCTTACAGATATCAATGACCCTTAGGATATCATGGAACACTTGTAACACACATTGTAGGGCTCTTGAATTCAAAACGGAACCCCTACGGAGAAGCTAGAACCCTAAACCCTGAAGCCTCAACCTGAAATCCTCAACCTCAAACCCTGAAAACCGAAACCCTGACTCCTTCAAGAACCCTTCAACAATCCTCATAGACGTCATGCTATGCCAGGCTCCTCAAACCCCAACACACACCTCAGAAGGCCCAGCCGAAGCCCTAAACGACAAACCTAAACCTTGAACCTTTGAATCCGTAAGGAACAACTGTATGCACCCTTCTTTGACCTTTGTGAAACCTTGAAAGGTCTCCTAGAAGCCCTCAACCCTGAAACCCTAAACCTTGCATTCTGATAAAACTTCAACCCTGAACCTCCGACCCTAAAAGCCAAGCCTCAAACCCTGAACCCAAAACCCTGAAGCCTTATGGAAGCCTTGTAGAGCCTTGCCTAAAATCCTGAGAGGACCCTCGTACCCGCACCCAAAGGATCCAAGAAAACAGATCCCTGATTTGGGAACCTATACTACTAAAGGATAGTTTATAGGAGCCGATTTACTTTTTGAGCCCTAAACCCTAAACCCTGAACCGCAATCTTAAACCCTAAACCCTGAACCCTAAACCGATCTCATTTTTGAATCCTCCCGGGGGAAAGGACACCTCCGCCTCGGTCACAAGGCGCACGCCCGCCGCCAGGCATTCCTGGAGTGAGGCTTAGGGTTTAGGGTTCTGGGTTCAGGGCTTAGGGTTTAGGGTTCACGGTTTGAGGTTTCGGGTTTAGAGTTTAGGGTCCTAAGGGTTCCTATAAGAGTTCCAACAAGCCTTCCCTTATAAGACTTCTAAGACGAAGGAGGGGTTGCTAGATTTGGGGGATGAGGGTCTCAGATATAATGCCTCCCGATGTAGAGTGTAGAATCCTCAGTACAACCCCCCAAACAAGCCACCCCTAACTTCTCCCTAAGGCCCTAATCCTGAACCCTAAACCGTAACCCCTAGCTTCAAGGCACTTCCCCACGAGTGCAAACCCCGGCCATGTCCTCAGCTATTCAACCCTGGGACTTGAGGGCTCCTAGTTTGTTGAAGTGTCAGGGTTTAGGATTAGCATACACCCCAAAACCCTGCTCGAATCACTAAGGGCCGCATAATTCGCAGGCTTTCTGGCATTTACACTCTGTCCTTCACATCCACTCCAGCCAGGCTCTGGGCGGCAGCTCAAAAGGCGCTAATCTCCAAAGGCCCAAAACCCTAAACCTCACACCCAAACTCTAAACCTTAAAACTCACCCTATAACCCTAAAAGCCCTGAAGCCCTGCCTGACTCCCCCAAGCCTCTAAAGTCCTAAACGCGGCTTCTAGACCTGCAGTCGAAGGTCAGAACCTGGCGAACTAAACCTAAACGCCAAAACAGCCACGATTTAGGGTTTAAGGGAAACTCAAACCCCAAACGATAAAACCTATAATCCCCCATTTCTTTTTACTATATACACATATATCACATAGATACATATATATATATATACAAAAGGCTAAACCCTCACCAAAGAAACCCTAAACCCTAACCCTGTGTGTAGAAGAGCCTGCGAAAACTCTGGAGCAACACTTTTTGCGGATGGGCACATGCTTGCAATGACTGTACACACTGCCACAATGCCCAACAATGGCGCAGCATCGAGACGGCCCAGAGACTCCAAGAAGGCCAAGGGTTGAGCTGCAACACGTACAAAATGAGGCGATCATGTAGAAACCTGATTAAGAAATCCTGGCCCTATAACCCCAATATAGTAAAAAAGGAATCCAAATAGAGAGCCGGGGTTTCTTGATCAGGTTCCTATATTATTATAGTACCCCTATAGATCCCTTATAGTACCCTTATAGATCCCTTATAGTAACCATTATAGAACCCTTTAAAGGAATCAGGTTCCTATATTAGTCCTTACTGCTGCTGGGGATCATGGCTTTCCCCCTCTTTTAGCGGGCCTTTGCAGTCTCTGGGCTTTCAAAGCCTACAGCCCTAAGAACCCTAAACCCTAAACCCAATCCCTCCGAGACCTTACCAACACCCTCTACAATCCGGCAAAACATCCGAAAGATCCTTCAAATACTTCCAAGAACCCCCTATAAACAGCATCTACAGCCCTTGCAGCATCCAAAAACCCTCCGAACCTGCAAACTCCCTAAACCTAAACCTATGCAATAAATCCTAGTCCCACCCACACTTTCGGGCCCGCTTGCTGGGAGGCAGATTCCCAGACCTCGGCACTACGTCGGGCTTCGGGACCGCGAGCCTATGTTAATACAGGGGCCGTAATGATTAGACTAGGGTTTGGGGGCCCATTATACTATTATAATAATAAGGAACCCCGAAAATGGATTGGAAATTTGTGAAGCCCCTATATGATGGAGCTTGGGTTCAGGGTTCAGGGTTTATGGTTTAGGATGTGGAGGTTGGGGCATTAGGATTTAGGGTTCAGGGTTTAGGGTGAAGACTTGCTCAGTTGCTGAGTTCATAAGCCCCAAACAGTGTACACTTTTCGTCTTAGAGCGGGTAATATTATCCCACAAAGTGTAAACCGTATCCACTCAGCTACTAAGCTTGAATCCTTCGGCATGTGGCAAGGCCTCCGGCCTGAGGTGTCTGAGCTCAGGGTTGTACGGCTGATGATAAAAAATCCTGCATTACCCATAATAAGGAATATACAATAATTCCCATAGTTTAGGGTCCTTAAGGCAATGCAGGATTTATGTCATCAACTGTTGTGTTTGGGGTTGAGGGCTTGGGATGTACAGTTTGAGGGCTTTGGGCTTTGCTAGTACCCTGGGTTCTCGCACCCCAGTACATGGAAGTTGATCCCCAAGATCCCCCTTCTTCATCTCTGCCTTAGTGCCAACAACCTAATAGGCCTATTTAAGGAAATATAATCCCCTACCCCCTCCCCGAAGGGTCCCTATAGTCGCACATTATCGTACCCTTATAAACCCCTTATAGTAACCCTTATAGACCCCTATCCCCCTAAGCCCCCCTAAGCGTCCCTAGGATGCCGAGATTCTGGGGCGTGCCCTTCGAGAAGCTGGACCACCGGCCCTTCCGATCGGCCAAGCTGCAGCTGTCCTTTTGGGTTTAGGGTTTAGGGTTTAGGGGTTTAGGGGTTAAGGTTTAGGGTTTAGGGTTTAGGTTTAGGGTTTAGGGTTTCATCCGCTTTGTCACTGGGGAAAAGGAGGGACCCTCAATGGGGACCCCTACCCTATAATGGGCTATATAATGGGCGTATAATAGCTATATTCAGGGTTCATCCCTAGGGGTCCTTATTAAGGTTCCCTCCTTTTACCCTTGGAGTCACAGGGCCATCATGAAGGCTGCACCCTAAATTGGGGTTTACGGCGTGTTCAGGGTTGCACCCTAAACCGTAAAAACCTGAAACCTAAGCCAGTTTTGGTGTTGAGTGTTGTTAAGGGCCCTTTTCCAGCTAGCGGGTGTAGTGTAGAGCAGTGTAGGGATCTTCGAAGGTTCTACTTAAAGGATCATGGGACTTAGTAACTAGGGTTATAATTAAGGTAGCTATACTTTATAATTACGTATAACGCCACTTTAGGCGCTTATAACCTTACTTATTAAGTCCCATGCCCCTCCAAGTAGACCTTAACCCTAAACCCTATACATTCCTTTAAGGAACCCTCTAGATCCCTATAAGGACCCCTTAAAGGAACCCTACTAACTAAGTCCCCTGCTCCTCCAAGTAGGGTTTCGGGTTCAGGGCTTGTTTTAAGTAAGGCATCCCTGGCCGATGCTGCGTTTCCAAAGACTACTCATAACCCTATTCTGAGTCTGCAGCTTTTTCTGGGAAAAGACTGTGGGCTCTCGGACTTCGAAATAAATAAATATGTATAAATAAATATGTGTATATATATATATGTATATATATATGTGTATATATACACACATACTTATAGAGAGAGAGAGAGAGAGAGAGAGAGAGAGAGAGAGAGAGAGAGGGAGGGAGGGAGGGAGGGAGGGAGGGAGGGAGGGAGGGAGGGAGGGAGGGGGCCTACACCTTGGCGCGCAACCCTAAACCCTAAGAAACTACATCCTGAACCACTAAACCCCTAAACCCTGGACCCCTAAGTGGGGGCTATGAGTCGGGAATAGCACATATGTCTACTGATACCTGATAACTAATCCCAAATGCGGTACTTGTAACCCCACCCATTAGGTCTCCTCATTCCTTAAGTAAACCCTAGATCATCGACCCTCCACTATGAACCCTTAAGTTACTTCAAGAATTCCCCCCTTGCAGAACCCTCACGTTCAGCAGAACCTAGCAACCCTCCGAAACGGCAAGAATCCGTTATGAAACCCTGAGACAGGTCCTAAACAGTTGATGATACAAATCCTGCATCACCCATAATACGGAATATGCCAAAATTCCCATAGTTTATCCTTGAGATAATGCAGGATGTAGATCATCAGCCGAAGGACCCTGATGAAAACCCATAAACCCTGAAACCTGACTTTGCTGAAGCAGCACCCCGATGCTCGAAACCCCACAAATACCCGAAACCCTAAACCCTAATACCCTCAACCCTAAACCCTAAACCCTATATAACCCCTAATACTCTAAACCAGCCCGCCTTTTGAGGTGCCTCCGAAAGCAGGCGCACCACCCGGGACCCAGCCGCCAGATGCAGAGGAGTGCGACCGCGAAGGTCCACACGCGCGTGGTCCGCACCCGCCTGAGGGTTCAGGGTTTGGGGTTTAGGATTTAGGGTTTAGGGTTTAGGGTTTAGGGTTTAGGATTTAGGGTTTAGGATCTAGAGTTTAATAAAAGCGTAGGGCTCAAAAGTTTCCTAAAGCCTAAACCCCTAAACCCTAAACCGTAACTAGGACTACTGTCAGGGCTTGGTTTAGGGTTTCGGAGAATTAAGGGTTACTTAGGGTTCCTTTAAGGGTTACTATAAGGGCTCCTTAAAGGGATCTATAGGAGTTCTATAAAGGGTTTAGGGTTTCGGGTTCAAACGAGGGATCCGAATTAAGAAACCTTCGGTCTCCATTAGCGGTGTTGAAACTTGAATCCTACTTGGAAGATCATGGGACTTAGTAAGCATGGGTATAAGTACCCTAAGTGGGGATTATAAGTAGAGTTGCCTTAATTATCACCCTAGTTACTAAGTCCCATGATCCTTTAAGTAATGTTTGGAGGCTTCTGGGACCAGGGCTTCACGCTCGTACATTACTGGACTTTGAAGTAACCAGGGAGAAAAAGTATATAGACTTGTATTTCATAATGGCTCCTTGAAGGAAAAAGTACCAAAAAAAATACTCAAGTATGGTACTCCAAACCCAGGATTAGGAGTTAAAAAGCTTAGAGGGTTGAGGGCGACTATACGAGCTATTGCAATAGAAGGGGTTGATGGTATGGGAGTTTCCGAAAACTAGGGGTACAATTTTGGGGGTCCTTATAATAAGGATCCTACCATTTAGGATACTATATTAGGGTCCCCTATTTTCGGAAACTCCCAACCCTAAACCCTAAACCATTATAGAAACCCTTAAAGGGACCCTTATAGATCCCCTTAAAGGAACCTTATATTCCATGTTAAGGTCCCCAATTTTCCAAATCCTGCAGGACCCATACTAAGGAATGGACCATAATTCCCAGAGTTTAAGGTCCTCAAGGTCATGCGCAGGATTTATATCATCACCCTAAA